CACACAGCATGCGTTCGTGAGCTTGATGGGCTACGCTGCATTAGAGTAACGCCTCCCTCTGTCCACACAGCCGTGCTGATCGCTTTCGTCATCTTTGCTGGACTCGCCTTGATGTCTACTATCGGAAGAACGATATATGGGTAACGTGCTTATACTGTTTTGTTCCTTTATGTATTTCATGTTCAGATATAAATGATCAAATCTTTGTGTATGAGTCATGGAGTCAGTGGTTGTCTAATTAGGATCGTCCAGATACCAGAGTTTACATTTAAATATGATACTCGTTGAAATCAAGCCATGTTAGTATTGTCTTTGTTACCATGGCAACATAGTAAGAAGCCTCCAGAGGCGGCTACCTTTAAAAAGTTAAATGAACACTCTAAATTACACAAATACTGGGGGGAGCGCCGATAGCATCGAGCAACCCATGTACAGAGGCCATAGTCCTTCTCTGACCTCTGCCCTTTACTGCACGTCACCCCCCCCGACGCTCTCCTCTCCTATAAAGGCAAAGAGGCCCCAACACTGGAACTCTTCAATACTATTGATCCTTTAAATAACAGAGATTGCTTTGTTAAAAAATGAGTGGTATCTTTGTTTCAGAGTTGACGGCCTCAGTGTGGATTGTAGAATTACCTCCCTCCTTCTTTCACAGGCTTGAAGTCGTCAGGGGGATCCTCTTCAGAATCGGCGGCTCCATGGAAACCGAGCGGCTCATAAACTCTGTGAGGGCAAATATACTTTATAAAGTTGTTACCTCGCCTCAGTTGTTCTTAGGTTTTGTATTTAACCCTCAAATAATGAAAAGGATTTGGAGGAAAAATGTACGAGCTTATTGAATTGAATCTCGTATAACCTCTGAATGTTTATATGAAATAGAAAAGGGAAATATGTGAGAGGCTGCAGATCCTCGAGGGGATTGTAGTCATGATACTTTGTGAGTGTTTTTTTTTCTCTAACTCAACAGTGTCTGTCTTTATCATCATTCAGGAGTTAGGCTCCCCTGGCAGGATAATACCGCCGGTGACTGACAACATCCTCCCTCCACCGCCCAGTCCCAGCAAGAGGCTGCGATCTCTGGACACATTCAGAGGGTATACCCCACCCCCCAGTTCTCATCTCTCTCCCTTCTTATAACTCAACCTGAGAATGTTATTTGGCTAATCACAACTCGGTCATAATTTCTTCCTCAGTTTGTCAAAATGAGTATGGTCATTCGTTTCTATACTCCTCCCCCGATGTGGTTCACTTTAGTTTTATTAATACAGAACAGTCTTTAAGGATTTAACCCTCAAAAAAAAAAAAAAAAACAGAGGAAAGTGTGATATTAAATTTGACTTTCATGCTGGTCACAAGCTGGTGCTGCAGATTGCAGGGAGGGGGTAGGGTCTGATCTGTCTTCATGCTGCATCATGTGAGTGTCGTTGTGGTGAGATATTTTGGCAGCAAACACCGCTCTGTGACTGATTAACGACCCCCTTAAAATAACATGAGCAAGGATCTGCTCCGTTGAGTGAATCATCTGCTTTTATTTCTGTTACATTCTAACTTTGTTTCATTCATGTAGTATAGCTGGTGTATTCTCTGCAGAGCTTAATGTCTTTCAGTGACCATGACTTCTCTCATTTTCCTGTCAGTATCTCCTTAGTCATCATGGTGTTCGTGAACTACGGAGGGGGGCGATACTGGTTTTTTAGACATGAAAGCTGGAATGGTAAGAAGCACTTACTTTAAGTTACAGATTTTTAAAATTCATACAACATATAAATCATCACGTGTACATTTAATACTGATGTTGCTGTCTGACTCTGATTACTTTAAACCTGTGATTCCTGGTTTTTGTCCTCGCAGGGCTCACAGTTGCAGATCTTGTATTTCCTTGGTGAGTTCAATTTGAAACGTCTCCCACTGCAGATTTGTTGACCCAATGCTGGATTTATTCTCCCCTCACGCATAAATAAATCACGGCTGTAAATTTGCATGCTTCAATGCATGCGATTAAGCCGAAGATCTTAACGAGTAACTCCTTTTTAAATGCCAGTTAATCAAAAGACTTTGTTACTTAATATACAAATGTACACAGAGCCTCATTCCCCTTAAGTATCCTTAAAAAAAACCTTAAAAGTTGAATATTCTCCTCCTTTTCATCAAGTCTAAACAAGTCTCAGAACTCCCCAAAACATGTCTGTGAAGTTTCTTGTTGTAAATCCACTCTGATCCTGTATTTGATCATGCCTATAAACCCCTCTTTCTCCTTTAGGTTTGTATTCATTATGGGGACGTCCATCGCCCTGTCGATCAACTACCAGCTCCGCTCAGGCGCCACACGCTGCTCAATGCTGAGGAAAGTAATATGGAGGAGCCTCCAGCTCTTCATCATCGGCGTCATCATCATCAACCCAAACTACTGCCAAGGACCATGTGAGTACAAACACTCTTCTATGACGTTGACACTATCGTTGATAAACGCCTCGTGTTCTTAGAAACTGTACCAAAACCCTGGAGTCATGTTGTCCTTTTCTCCTGCCTGTTTCTACCTGCATGCTTGCTCAATCTCCATCCTCATCCTCTCCAAAGTATCGTGGAACAACCTGCGGATCCCAGGTGTGTTACAGCGTCTGGCCTGCTCATATCTAGTAGTAGCATGCTTGGATTTGTTGGTGGCAAGAGGTCATCTCGACATCCTTACTACGGTCAGCCAACCGCTCCATTTTACTTTTATCCTCTAACTTCATATTTGCTTTCCAAGTGTTTCAAGATTTGCCTTAAAGAGAATTGCCTTGTATGTGGTGGATACAAAAAAAACATGTCTTTAATTGTGTATTGTCCTTATTGTTTTTAGTGCTAAATGTGTTGTATCGGTGAATATAAGTGTTTGTCTGATAAGTGTCTGTGTTTTTCAGGATGCATGTTGGTCCCCTGGACTTGATATCCTGCTGTACTGGCCAGCCTGGCTGTGTGTGCTTCTCTTAGAAACCATCTGGTTATGCCTCACTTTTCTCCTCCCAGTACCAGATTGCCCAACGTGAGTCCAAAGCTGTTTTTACACATGCACTACTGAAAATTTCTTGGAAATATCAGGACAGCCTGCCTCTGAAATCTTCCTGCTCGTCTCTCACAGCGGGAAGTTTTCCCCTGTGGAAAAAGCAGGACAGATCTCAAGTTGCAGGACATGTCGTGAAAGAGATGCTGCAGAAATACACATTACCAGTATCAGCTTACGAGTGAAAAAGAACATATTGTCGAGCAGAAAAGATTAGGAAGCTGCTTCATTACATGCACAGATATCACATCCATCATGCACCGGTCACATCTCATCGTTGCTGCCATGCCCTCGTTGTAAATGTCCTCCCTTTAACCTACTGTGTTCACACAACAGCTCACCTTGACTTCTCGTAAAAAGTTTGTTAGAGGGTTGTATTATTAGAGGTTAAAGTCTGGTTAAAGTCTGGTTGACCAATTTCCTCCTCTTCTCTGGTTAACAGAGGCTATCTGGGTCCAGGTGGGATTGGGGACATGGGCCTGTATGCTAACTGCACCGGTGGAGCAGCTGGTTATATTGACAGGTGGCTGTTGGGAGATTCCCACATCTACCAGAATCCCTCATCACGGGTAAGCGAACAGCAGAACAACTCAAACATACAGGCAACAGTGGCCATATTTTAATCTTTTATTATATGGGACAGCTTTACAATAGTTCTTCTCCTCATTCCTGTTAAAGAGGAAGTTCTGTGTTGCTATTAATAACCACAAATCAGCTATTGCTCCCGTCAAATTTGGTGTCCCTCAGGGCTCATTTTTGGGACCCATTCTGTTTTGTCATTCTTGTCTTGCGAAATATAATCAAGAGACATGTTGTTAACTATCATTTCTATGCTGATGACACTCAGTTACACCTGCCCGTTAGAGAAACTGATCTTGGCATGCTGAGTTTTTTTTATGACTTGATAAACATCACTTGATATATAAAACAATTGAAGTCACAAGATTTTCAGCAGGTTAAGCCAAAATTTTAGACTTTATTGTCCCCATGGGGAATTTGTTTTTCAAAGTACAGACAAAAACCCACCAAAGAACAGTACATACCCAAAACACAGTGTGTAAAATAGTGTCAAACAACAATCAGAAATTTCCACTCTGGCCTGTCCATCGGCATCAGGTTCTTTCCAAGGCGAGCCCTTCTGCACCTCAGTGCTCTGTACCTCCGTCCTGAGGGGAGGGGAGTGGGGTGAGGTGGATGTGTGATGTCCTCTTCTGTTGAGGTTGCAATGCTTAAAATGGGCCTCCTGTTGAGTTCTCTTAGGTTGGATGTGGGTAAAATATATTCTGCCAGCTTTTGTTTGTACTGCGTGTGAGTTTGGCCCTGATTTGAACCTATAACATGTTGAAGAAGCAGGTGGAACAATACAGCAGGATGAGCTGGATCTTGATCTGATATAGCAGCAGGAGAAGACAGTCTAAACTGTGATTGTCATAACTTTGCCCCAGCACAAAGCAGAACTAATACTGCCATCTGCTGGGCCCTTTGTGAAACACAAGAATCTGGGAGTATCTCATCTCAGAAACTTTACCAAATACGATCATTTTGATCCCTAAAAGTCACAGAGACCATTTAACATGCCTTCATCTCCTCATAATCTGAAATCCAAAATATCAACAAGCTCCAGATTGTTCAGAACTCTGACTTTTAACCAGAAGAAAGAAAAGTGACCACATAAAGCCCGTTTTAGCCTCCTTGCTCTGGTTCCCGGTATGTTCTACAGCCGATTTTAATATCTAACCTCTGACCTTTTACGGCTATTCACGGCCTTTCTCCTTGCTACATATCTGACATATTAATCATGTATGAGCCAGTACGCAGCCTGAGATCCTCGGGCAGAGGACTTTTACGTGTTTCAGCAGCAGTGAGTTCTGGGACAAGCTGCCTGAGGAGATCAGGTCGGCAGACTCTGTGACTACTCTCAAATCTCTTATTCAAACATACTTTAATTAGAGAGCTTTTTCCTGATCTCACTTGGGTTTATTGTCCAACCTATTGTTGCTGACTCTGTGGTTTTAGCTTTCTTTTTTTTTTGAAGTTATCTGTTTGGTTTGCATTGCTTTGTATGATTATTATTATTTTTTTTAATTCTTGTAAAGCACTTCTAAACTCAGGTTACAAAGTGCTCTATAAATAAATATTATCGTCTCAGGTAATGCAAGAGTAAACGTTGTCAGAACTCAAGTATGTTTACGAAGATGTGTGTGTGTTTTCTGAAGGTGATTTATGGAACTCATATGCCATATGATCCAGAAGGGATTCTTGGAAGCATCAACTCCGTCCTCATGGCTTTTCTTGGATTACAGGTTCGCACTGTGTATTTGTCTGCTCGTGCTTTCCTGCTTTCATTCATATTTTCTCATGCTTAGCTTGATAATGATATGAAGGTGAATGAAATAACCAAAAGGAGTATATTTTAATTTTCATATATTTTTTTTAAATCCTATCCAGGCAGGGAAAATAATCTTACACTACAGAGACGTTCACACAAGTATCATATCAAGGTTCCTCATATGGGGACTCTTACTGGTAAGTTCATTCATCTGTGCAGAAGTGTATACCCGTCTGTTGTTACTTCTATAGTATATCTATGTTATAGTGTTGTAGTCAAGACCACACTAATCGAGACCAGATTGCTCTGAGACCGAGACAAGAACGAGACATTTAGGGATCGTGACTGAGTCAAGACCAAGACAGGGCGAGACTGAGACGAGACCAAGACCATAAATATCACTGACAAATCATTAACCTGTGTGCAGGGGGCGTGTCACTCTCTTAGCCTGTAAGACAGGGAAGGTTGCGGCCGTAACACAGTAATGCTGTATAGTAGTCTTTCAGTTGTGGTCTTGACCGGTCTTGATTTAAAATCTGGAGTGCACCAAGTCTGACACCGAGACAAGACCGATTACAAATGCTTTCGATTCCGAGACGAGACGGAGGCCTTCAAAAAGTGGCCTTGAGACCGGTCTTGTTTCGAGTACTACGGCACTACTATGCTATAAAAGTCTTTGTTGATGAATGGGATCTCTGTCTCAATGTTTGACTTCATGGCCCTTTAGCTTCCTGACGATGTAGTAATAAAAGTCTCTTGTAACCCACAGGGAGTCATATCAGCAGCTCTCACCAAGTGCTCCACAGACCAGGGCTTCATTCCTGTCAACAAGAACCTATGGTGACGTTCATTTTCATGCTTTTACCAGAGTTCAAATGTTTGCACAACATTTTAGTTTATTCGGCACTACAAGTCACTACAATTAAAGACATTTAAATCGCAGTAGTAGAGACGTTGTGTCTTGTCCAATAAATAAAAATCCAGACAAATTAAGTCATCTTTTTTTTTTTTTTACGGTTGTTTTCAACTTTATTGCATGCACTTGTTTATTCCCCTTTCAGGTCCCTCTCCTATGTCACCACACTGGCCTGTTTTGCATTTGTGCTGCTGGTAGTTGTGTACTACACAGTGGATGTGAAGAAGTGGTGGTCAGGGGCACCTTTCTACTACCCTGGTGAGTATTGTACTGAATTATCAGCTATAATACCATTTGAAGTTGAAGCTCAGTCTACACTGTTATCATAAAAGGAGCTTTGGATAAGCCTGCCTCTGACTTGTTTTTAAACTTGGAGGTCACATATTATTCTCCTTTTCAGCAGGTTTAAATAAGTCTTAGAGATCCCCAAAACATGTCTGTGAAGTTTCTTGTTCTAAATCCACTCTGATCTTGTATTTGATCATGCCTATACACCCCTCTATTTAAGCCCTGCTCAGAACAGGCTGTTTCTGTGTCTGTACCTTTAAATATGTAAATGAGCTGTGTCTGACCACGCCCCTCTCTTGAAGGGCTCAGTTGGCACTGGCTTTTTCGCTCCATGCACAATTGTTTATGTTTACAAGGCCGACTCAGAGGGCAGAACAAACACCTAGCTGTGGGAGTGTCACCCACCTGGGGGAGGGGTTACTGCCCTTTGTGATGTCATCTCCAAACGGCCTGTTTGAGCAGACATTTTTTGAAAAGTGGAGCAGGGAAAAGACGGAGAAGATGGACTTTTCTCATAATTGGGGGGTTTGCAGACACACACATTAGTGTTTGAGAACCATGGTGAAGTGAATTTTGCATTATATATGATCTTTAAAACAAATGTAGACTCCTATTTTTTTCAAACTAACACACTATTTTGTTCTAGCATAGTCTGTTAGGGTACATAGAAATGTGTTCATTAGATTATTGGATAATTATAAGGGGGGAAATCTCTGCAATCATCTGGACCTTTTCTTCCAGGTATGAACTCCATCCTTGTGTACGTGGGCCATGAAGTGTTTGAGGAGTACTTCCCCTTCCGTTGGCGCATGGTCAACAGCCAATCCCACGCCGAGCATCTCACTCAGAACCTCGTGGCTACCTCCTGTTGGGTCCTCATCTCCTACCTGCTCTACAGAAAGAGGATTTTCTGGAAAATTTAAACGATATCACCAGCGGACATTGTTTACATCAGAGATGCTGGAGTTGACTTCTTCTTGGAACACAGGATTGTCTCATTTTCTAAAAACTTTGGCTGTTCTTTGTGAACAAATATGGGGTTTGTCTTTCATGCAAGAACCTTTTTCTCGTTTCTTTTTTTTTAAATTTGTAGTCACTACTTCATAGGATCATGAATGTGTAAAGACTTTCCAAAGACTTACAGATAAATAGCAGAGTACCCCAAATATCCTAACTGACTTAGGAATAAAATGGAAGAATGGTTTTAGACTAGAGCCCGACCGATTAATCGGCCGGCCGATGATGTTGGCCGATATTAGCTTATTGTATTGGCTAATTTCCAGTCAAATCACATTTTATTTTAATTTCATTGTATTACACTAGCAGTTCTCTCTTTCACCAGCAGAGGGTGCTATATAGATTACAAAAAGCATTATCACTCTCCAGACTGTCAAGCGGTGATGCACATACATGCAAAGTTACTTTCCAGTTTTGTCTTCATTATATATCTTTTCCACAAGTGTTTGATAACTGCATTTGAGGGATTAATGCAATACATATGTATATCTATCTCTCCGGATCAAACATAGAGCTAAGAAAGATATCGGCCAAAATCAATATCGGTATCGGCCCCAAAGACTCATATCGGTCGGCACTATTTTAGACTTTCAGAACTAGGAAGGCTGACAATAAGGACAGACAGTAAGTGTCACTGTTCTGGTTTTTATTCCTCATTTTGCACCACAGACTTCTACAGAAGGCTGGTGTGGTTTAAAAGTTCTTTTTTTTTTTTTTTACTTTCCTATGGTAGGATCCCTGCTTCCATCAAAAGTACTGTGGCATTACTCCGAAAACTGAAGTGGGTATTGATGAGATTGACTCTTCTAGAGCAGAAGAAGACTGTAAAAGGATTTGCACCTATTAGAAAGTCCACTACAGAAACAGAAAGTTAAACATCTGCATTAAGGTGTTCCTTTGTCTGAGTGGGCATAATCATTTCAGCAGCTATTGTCAGGTGGTGTGGCAGGAAATTATACTGCTTGTTACCTGTTAAACAGGCTGAGGGGAAGTGAAGATCGTCACGTCAGCTGACTTTTGAAACCCAACAAAGGACGCTTGTTCTGCATTTTGACTACATAGGAGGCACGCATGTGTTTATCGTTTTGATCAGGTTTTGTTTTGTTTTTTAGCACAATGCACAGATATAGCCTCCTTTGATGTGCTACAAATGCCCTTTTTGTATATTAGCTTCGGCACAAAGAGTTTGCCAAAAATGTCAAGAAAGTACTTCTGCTGTGTATTAATTATGTACTGTAGGTTCATTGATTTGAAACCCTATATATAATGATGTTGGGTCTGTGCCCAAAACTGTGCTGCCATTACTTTAAAAAAAAAAAGATTTATATGCAAAACACAACATGTTCACCATCTGTAAACTATTAAAAAACATCTAAAGGAATACTTTTCATCTAGAACTGTCTTAATACATTATGTTCATTTACAAACTTTTATACTTTTTTTTTAATGTTCAACATTTAAAAATGAATTTATGTAATAAAAATAACCTTTTAAAAAAAACAGTTTTATTGTATTATTATAATACCATGTTGTCAACCAGTGTATAAAGGCCACACAGGAAAGCAAATACTGTGTGAATACTACATTTCAAAACGAAACTGTTTGAATAACCCCCATGTGCCCGCATGCAGCTTTTCAATGTAGCGAGGTAAATATGGCTTTATTGCTCAAGAAGGCGTGGGAATCGAGTTACAGTCAGGGTGCTCGGTGAAAAAAAAAAAGAAAAAAAGTGAAGCCATGAGGGTTAGTCTTTATCTCGCGATATTTCCGAACCATTTGCACTTGTGTCAATTGTGAGAGTTTTTTCGGTCTCGCGTGACTTTGCAACTTTCCCACGCCTGTTGTTTTGGCGTCTGCCCTCTGCCCGTCGCCACTCCCCCCCCCCCCCCGTCACACCTCCCCCTTCTTTCTCTCCCTTGCTTTTCCTTCCAGTCTGATTCTTCTGTTGTGCCGTTGGCTTCGCTGAGGGGGGACTGGGGGAGGGATCTCGCGATTGTTGGACTTTTTCTTTTTTTTTTTTTTTTTTTTCGGGGGAGAGAGAGAGAGTTATTCGGAAGATGGCGCCCGTTGTTACGGGGTAAGTGCTGAAATTTAAAGCTAAATGTTACTTTTAAAAGTTTTGTTTTCTTGTTTAAAAAAAAACCAGATACACTTTAAAATGCTCAAGTGATGTTAGAGGGTACTCGTACTTCCTATGTCTGCCACAGTCGCCCACCCCTCAGTGTTACTTTGTGCCGTGGGGTTACTTGTGCAAAACTATTCTTCGTTGTAACGTTACATTTTACGTATCGCCTGGTTTGACTTGTTGTACGACTTTGTCCCCTTTTTTTTAAACCAACAAAGAAACCCCCCCCCCCCTTATCAGTGAACAGTCTCCGCTTCAATAATTTAACTGCTTTTGTACAATTTCCACATTAAAAGTTTCAACAAGTTGACTATGAACGTTACATTAACGTCACAGTTGAGCAGTGATATCGGAGTATTGCTTGAGTTGCTAAGCAACACCCGAAGCCTTCATTCTATTGTCGTTTTATACATATTAAAGGTGCACTGTGTAGATGTGGTAGGGTAATTTGAAAGTTGTGGAAGTGAAACTTGTTGCCATATTTTCTGAACTAAACACACAAAATGTATTCAAAGGAACAGAGGAGGGTCCCTGGAACACTGTTTGGAGATTTAAAGCTACCAGGAGAGTAATGATGTCACTGTTGTGGACCCCCCCACCACCACCATAACATCTCGTGTAGCATTTTAACTTCAAACAGTGTTACAGGGATCACATTTTCCTCTGAGGACAGTTTGTGTATAGAGTTAAGATAAGATATACTTCATTCATCCCAGCAGGGAAATGTAGGTGTTCCAGCAGCCAGCATACATAGAAACACACACAACACAACACATACATACATACATACATACATACATACATACATACATATCCCACCCATACAAAAAAACATGAGCCCACAACACAGTTTGATATATGATATATGCAACTCAGGCTAAAGTTTAAATGTCTTCTGTCCTTATGTAAAGGGGAGTCGTTATAAGTGCAATTGCAGTAGGTAAAAAAGTATTTTTAAATCTGTCTTAGCTGATAATATACCACAGAATCTGTACACTTCTCCAACTTTCACATTTCTCTACCATAGTGCACATTTAATATATAATGTAGCTCAGACAGTTATCAGTGTGTAACCGACTTTCCCATTGTAGTGTTTAACTCATTCCTATGAACTTCACAGTAGTTTTAAAAACAGCCTCAAACAATAGCAGCAGGACTTCTGAGTAAATCTTAAATCTGAAAGTAAGTAAGTAAGTCTGTGTAATGTCATCCCCTCTGCACTTTGACACAGTTTTTTTTTTTTAATCACCCACTTTCTGTCAGGCGTGTTGCTTCTATCTCTGCTGTCTTTCACCAGCACTGAAACCACGTGTAAACACCTTGCACTCTTGTGTTTTTGTTATGCAGGAAGTTTGGTGAGCGACCACAGCCTCAGCGTTTGACAAGGTGAAAAACATAGCAGGCTCCTCTTCACTTTGCAAAAAACATTTAAAACTATTAAATCAGTGCATGAAGATAAAAAAAAAAAAAAAATACAACCTGTACTGTAAAACTGTACTGTCAACATCTGTTTACCCTCATTTCATTCCAGGGAGGCCATGAGGAATTACTTAAAGGGGAAGGATGATCAAACGGTTCTCATTCTACATGCAAAAGTTGCACAAAAGTCATACGGCAATGAGAAAAGGTTTGTGTCGGACTGTTTGAACATGAACACTCTGAGTTTGTGTGTTTGAATCTCTAAAGATCTTTTAATATAATTGATGCTTTGGAGCTTTGTATGATTTCCTTATCCCCTCTGCTTGTGTGTCGATCAGGTTTTTTTGCCCTCCACCATGCGTGTATCTGATGGGCACTGGCTGGCAGAAGAAGCTGGAGAATATGCAGAAGGAGGGCTGCACAGAGCAGGAAGCCCAGCCTTGTGCCTTCATCGGGATAGGCAACAGTGAACAGGAGATGCAGCAACTCAATCTGGAGGGGAAGGTATAAAGTCATTCATAATTACACTGCACTGAAGGGGTTTGAACTTCTGCTTTCACTTGACTGTGTTGGTAATCTTCAATGCTTACATTAAGGTCGTCAAAATGTACGACACTCTGATACTTTTTTAAGACCACATGTGTTCATGCCGTTATTACATTTCCAAGGTGGCTAGGTGATGAGAGGAGTCAGTTATAAAAAAAAATAACTCGGAAAAGAAGGAGGAACTAAATAGTAGCACATTTATTCACAAACTAAGGAAAAATGTACAATTCAAAATAAGCTTCTCTCACAAAGCCACAACAGGGAAGCCGATCTAGTTCTGAATGAAGTCCAAAAACTAACATGCAAAATAAATCTATTAAGAAAAGACAAAGGCTGCAATGAAATCACTCTCCTCCCAGAGAGGGCGTTCACTAAAGCATCTTGACATCACAAAGTGCCACTGAATGGCACACTGGCGCTGACTGCCTCCTCTCTCCTGCTCTTTATACTCGGCCTTGATTGTTCAGTTGGCACAGGTGAGCTCGAGCACCAGGTGAGCACCAGGTGCATCAGGGCGAGAGCAGTACCAGAGAGAGAGAGAGACACACAACACTACAGCACGTAACAACATGTTTTAAAAATGATACAACCTCCATTATTGTTACGATCGATTTTATTGAAAAGCACAGAAGCTTTAAAAAAGAAAACATCTGCACAAATGAAATACATCGGCAACGTTGCAGATCTGAAACTTCCAAGAACTTCTGACTTTCGTAGTATTTTATCAGAGTTAAAAATGTATTGTGCTTTTGTAATTTGTTCTGCTTCTCTACTGATAAACCACAGAAAGTAACCACAGCATGCATGCAGTTCTTTG